CTATTCTTCACCCCTTGTTTGGCCAAAGCATCCGCTAACCCCTGTAGCACCATATTACAGATTCTGGATCCTTTAACCAACCCACCACCAATTTTGAATCTCCTTCAATCACCAAATTGGTTATATTCAATTCATTAGCAATTTGTGCTCCTTATAGGGCCACAGACAATTCAGCCTTGAGAGAGTCCCCAATCCCCACTGGGCCAGAAAACAAGGCTACCAGTTTGCCTTCCAAGTCTCTCGCAACCCCTCCTATACCAGCAGGTCCTGGATTCCCCCTGCTACTCCCATAAAAATTCAATTTCACATATTCTTCAGGTGGAGGTAGCCATACAGCATTTATTCTTTCCTTTCTTGAAGAACTTCTGGCAACTACTTCCTAATTTCTCCATATATCATCAGGAGAAATTTGAGAAAACAGGTCCAAAGATTTGATCCAATGGATCACCCTACACATCACACAATCCTTTATCTCTTCCTTGCTTCTTTCCTTCTCAGAGAAAATTCTTGCATTCCTCTCTTCCCAAATTGTCCAAGCCAAGTCTGCTCCAACACACCTCTACATTATCCTCCCCCTCCTTTATGGCCAAGTAAACATAGAAGGATCAAATATTAGATTAGTTTCCACTGATAAAGACCACCTGCACCCAAACAACGAAAAGAACCAATTCCAGATATCTGCAACAAAGGAGCAGGAAATCAGTAAATGAGAGAAACTCTCATTATCAGATATGCACAAAACACACCAGTTTGGAGAGGCATAAATTGGGTCTCCTCTTCTATAGCATTTCCAAAGTATTAATTTTTCCATGAATTACTTCCCAACAAAAGGCTCTTATTTTAGGGGGAATAGGTTTGCATCAGAATTCTTTCAAGGGAAAAGAAGAAGAAGGCAGAGAGTTACAAAGAGACTTGAAGAAGGAAGCAAATGAAAACAAACCCTTAGGGTGAGGGGTCCAAATAAGCTTATCTGACTTATCAGGATCAAGACATACACTGAAGAATTTGAAGCAAATCCAGACAAGCCCTCAATTCATCATCCCTTAACCCTCTACCAAAGCCAAAGTCCCAAATTACGATCCACGGGGAGAACAGGGAGAACAACGAATTTTGAAATACATTCATTTTTGTACAATAAGGATGGAAAAAGATCCTGTTAGAGAATATCAACCTATTCAAGGACCTCACCTAACAGCTTAAGCTTTTAGGCATAGTTTCAAATGTCGCCAAATGTCGCTAATGTCGCCCGATATATGTCAATGTCGAGACTCACCAACATGAAAATGGATGGTAATATAAAAATTGCATTATTTCGGTCGACCAAATCGATCCAAATAACCAAAAAAAAAGACAGTTTTTCCTATTATGTCGACAGGATGTCAACTAATGTCGACTAATGTACATTAATAATATAATATATTGGTATATTATATTAATATAATACAGTATGTTAATATAAATTATTCCATTAATAATTTCTATTTAATATTTCAAATAAAATATTTATAAAAAAGAATTAACAAAAWATAAAAACAAAAGAATAAATTAATTACTTTATAATATAAAACATAAAATATTCTTCAAGTAATAAAATATTAACTAGTTAGTATCTTTTAAAATATTTATTAAAATCAGAAAATGTTT